CAACCCCCTTTTGGGTCGCCAGCTATACCAGGATGACTGCCTGTGACCTATACTAGGAAGACCTATTCAACCCCCTTTTGGGTCTCCAGCTGCGTTTAACTTAGTATAGTACTTGACTTCCCTGCCACCTCTCTCTTTGCTGATGTCCAGAGCGTCTTTACTACTATTCTCCCTAATTACTTGACTATTCTCCTGAATTGCTCAACTATTTTTTTAACCTCCTGTTTTTTTGTCATTCTCCTCCATGATACCATCGTCTCTACTAAGAGAAGGTAACCGTTGTGTGGAGAGAAGAAGTCGGGGGTAAATCAGAGGGGGGCGTAGGGGTATTTTGTTCAGTCCCTGGAAGGCAAGCTTATAGTCCCTGCGGAGTGGAGCCTGGTCCTCCCCCGGTCCTCCCCCTTCCCTCCTTCCCACTCAACTTATAGGTCCATCCCCCTTCCTCCCCTCCCAGCCAGTCCTTGCTGATTTTTTTTGAGAGAAACCTGCGGCGCAGTCAGGGTTTCGGTAGCTTGTTTGTATCTCTTAGGGTCTGATCCCACCACTACACTACAGCCTAGTTACACTGTAGTTTTGGGATCCCATAGCCTGTTACACTGTAGTTTCGGGATCCCACCACTACACTACGGTTGTGGAGTTTGCTGAAATATTTTGCACGCATTTCGTGTCGGAATGTCGTGGCAGCACGCCCGTGAAGGGCTCGAGCAAAGTTACTACATTTTTTGTGTAGACCGTTTGGGCACAACGGCCGTGAAAAAGAGGGAACATTTTTTTTTTTGTGTGTTTTTTTTTTCAGTTGTCCGTCCAGCCCGTTAGGAACGTCCGAGGTCCACATGCGTGTGTGACATGTCGTCTGGCGGTACAAHGGAAATGTCCGCCCTAAAAATGCAGCCCATGGAAAGTCGCCGCGGGTCCAGGAAAACCACCGAGGAAGTCGGTGTCGTCGGATCTGCTTTCTGTAGCCGGGCCCGTAGCTGACGCTGACACTATTGTAGTGCTTTTTCCTCACTACTTGCGTAGTGTAGTGGTGGGATCAGACCCTTAATCTAGCCCTTAGCCAAAGCCAGGTAGTGGCCCTGGTACTGCAAATTCTCAAAACTTTTTCAAATCCTATGTAATTTTCTATATGGGACGCTGGGCCCGGTTCCCAGCACATGTTGCTCCCCACGAATAGGTCGGAGCTTGTTCCCATTTAAAAAAAAAAAAAAAAAAAAAAAAAAAAAAAAAAAAAAAAAAAAAAAAAAAAAAAACAAAACAAAAACAAAACAAAAAAACACGGCGCAGTCAGGGTTTGAGTTTGTAATTGCACTTGAGGCAAAAGGGCCGGTAATGCTGAATGTATGTGACCTACGCTTCCGGTCCTGTGGGGTCGCGTGGGGGTGTGTTGTATTGGCGGGATTGCCTGAAGTGCAATTACAAACTGTTTTCGTGACTGCGCCGAAGTTACCCTTTTTTTTATGTTAGCTGTTATTTCCGTTTTTGTGTGCGGTAAGGGTCTCGTTAGACACTCCTAAAAGAATCCTATATTTTTTAGGACGAGTCCTAAAGATTTTTTAGGATTTCGCGCAGCATCGTTACATGCAATCCTAAAAATCATGTTTTAGGATTCGTCCTAAAAGGTCTCCCGCGGCCGGTTTTCATATGCGTATACGCAGCCGCGCGGCCGATGTCCGTCCATTCCTGGCTGGTGTCCGTGGTACACACTGCGGTGGCCCTTGGGAGGGTGAGGACGGGTTGGTGAAAAGCGCGGCAACCCCGAACTTCGAAAATTCAAATTCGAATTTTGGCGAACGCAGGGTGGCGGGGCGGAGGACAGCCAGGCAGCGCGTGTGACGTATAAAAGACGGCGCAGGTGAACCGTTCGGCGCGGGGACCCATCTTTCGAGTGTACGCAAGTTGTGACCAGCGGGCGCATCTTCCTGCAAGGCGCATCTTCACCTCTGGCGTGCGTACTGTCCTCTGGAAGCGTAGAGCAGCGGGCGCGTCTTCGGCTATGGCGTACGTCATCTCTTGTGCCAGCGTACAGCAGCGGGCGCATCCTAAGCTCTGACGTGCGTGGTCTCCTGCGGCTGGGTTGAGCAGCGGGCGTGTCTTCGGCGGCTGTGGCAGGCGTTACGCTGTAGGGGCGGAACGATTCTCAGAGATGGACGTTCGCGGGCGCGGGCACGGTCTACGCGAAGAAGAGATCGAAGCGGTGGCCATGGCGGTGACTGTCGTCGTCGTCAACACGAGGAGTGACATGTCGTCGTCCTCATGCGACATGCTGATGCAGCTCCGTAAACGAAGAGCGCTGTTGCAGAGCGTTGCCGAAGCGCCGGATTTTATGGCCACGTGTGAGGCAGTCGTTCAGTTGTGTGTCGCGTTGTCTTATGGCATTTTCCCGCGGCAGACCTCGCGTTGGTGGATTAGAAGATGGACTGGCGGTACATGGGAGGACCTCCACCTGTGTGATGATGCAACGGACGAGTATTACCGCCAGAAGTTGCGCATATCGAAGGCCATGTTCACCCAGATCGTAGCCGCGTGCGGCGCGTACGTGGAGAAGAAGGTCACACACTATAGGATGTCATTGCCAGTGGAGCAGGTGATCGCTTTCTCGTTGCACAGGTGGGCTTCTGGAGAGACGTACGAGAGCGGCACATCAACCTTCGGCATCGAGAGGGCCACTGGATTGCAGGCCGTCCGCGACATGACTTCCGCGCTGCTGCAGGCGTAACCCGACGCGATCAAGTGGCCAGTGGGCCGTAGACGTGCGCAAATTCTGCGCGCTTTCCGTGAGAAGGGTTTCCCGAACTGCTTCGGCGCAATCGACTGTACACACATCTACATTGACAAGCCCGCCGACGCACCTTCTGCCAACTACTACGACCGCAAACAAAAGTTCTCCGTGCAGGCGCAGGTGGTGGTGGATTTGGATCTGCGAATCCTCGATGTCCACGTCGGATACCCGGGAAGTGTGCACGACGTCCGTGTCCTGCACAACTCCCAGCTGTGGAGGCATGCAGAAACTGGCGAGCTGTTCGACGCACCTCCAGAGAATCTGCCGCACGGGGTAGTCACGCGAGGTTACGTGCTGGGGGACGACGGTTATCTTGTTGCCTGTCCATGGATCGTGCAACCATGCGGTGGAATCGACCAAGGTCCTAACGAGGAGCGTTTCGACACGCGACAGAAGGTGGTGCGGGGGACCCGGTGTGTGGAGAGGGCATTCGGGCGACTGAAGTGCATGTGGCGTCTGTTCATGCGCACCCACAAGACGAACCTGGAGACCTTGCCCCAACAATTCGTGGCCGTGTGCACTCTCCACAACGTCCTCCTCGACGCGGGGATCGACTTCGACGAGAACCTTTGGTGGGAGGTGGATGCGAATGGCGTTCGACGTAGAGTAGACTTGGGCATTGTGGGGAACGGCGCGGGCGGGCGTCAACGGAGCACGAACGTGGACGGGGACTTGTTGTGGGATGCGCTTCGAGACCGCCTACATTTGCTGTAGGACCCGGGGGGGGGGGGGGGGGGGGGGGGGGGGGG